GACACCGGGCCCCTTTTCGGCGCAGACTCAGACGGGCATCGACCGAGATCACCCTGATCTCTGCTCTCTCCTTCTCCCTGCCCCGCAGCGTTCCTCCTTCCCACCCCAAAAATCCAACGTGCCGTTCCCCTGCCCTCCTGCCTCCATTCTGACCCCCGTATCCAACGCCGAGCCCCTCACGTCGAGCCCCGGTCCCTCCCCGCTGGGATTTCGGGCTGACCCTCTGGTGTCCCCCATCACCGCCGCGTGAGCTCAGACCTACCCCAGGCCCTGCTCCGTCCTGCTGGCTGCAGGTGAGGCGTCCCTCCGTTTTCGGGGCTCTCGCCGAGGCTCCGGCTGGACCCCCCCGGTGCAGGGCAGACTCCTCGGGGCTTCGGCTGGGATGTTCTCGGGGAAAGAAACCGGGAATAAATCATTACTGTTGTCCGCCCGGTAATTTTTGCAGCCTCCAAGTGAAGGAAATCCTCTGCTTCCCAGTTACTCTCCCCACCTGAGGGGTGGTTGGTGTGTGTGACCGAAGAAATTTATTATAATTTTTTTCAATCTTTGCCCTTTTGAAATGAAAAACTCTCTCTACAGACTCCGGGTTTCAACGGAATCCGTTTAATCTTCCACTTCAAGTGAAAAATTAGGTAAAGCCAGCTAGGCAAATGTCACTGATTTGGAAAACATTTGAAAATAGAGGATGGTTCCACGCCGCAGTGCCAGGCAAGCTTTGCACCCCTTACAGGTGAATTTTACCCACTGAAAAAAACAATGAATTCAGTGCAAGTCATAGGATGCTATTTTTAGAGTCAGTGAGTGTTTTCTATAGGGAATAAAGTTTGGGAATTCTCTATCAGAGCTTCGTTCAAGAAAACCTTTGATTAGTTTTATAGTCTACCTGCTGAGTGTTTTAAATCACCGGTGAAGAAGCGGATATAGGCATGAAGCAGTTCCACAAAGCTGTTTGAAAATTTTAATTTTTTTTTTTTTTCAATCTTTGCCTTTTTGAAATGAAAAACTCTCCCTACGGACTTCTGTCCGTCCGTACATTGAGCTTAAATAGAGTCCGTTCACCATGTGTCTGTGCTTGGAAAATTTAGTACTGATCCGTGAGGATTTTGATGATGGTAAATATTACTTTTGAATTTGGGAAACTAACATTTGGTTGGTAGGTGTTTAAAAGGAAATCAAGCCTTTCTAAAAATAAATAAACAATGTTTACCTCGCCTGAAAGCGGTGCGACAATCTGCTCTGCTCCTCCAGCAGACGGTCAGGCCTGTTTATAAAGGACAGATCACTTGAAATTTCTTTTCAGTTTGCTTATAAACAAGTAGAAATACATTTGTAACCCGCGACTTCGCCTCTTGAGACTCTAGAGGGAATATCCTAAGTATTAAATACATTAAAAAAAAACCCCAAAACCAAAGCAGACCACCTCAATGTTACTGATTCTCCCCCGCTGGGCTGCATTCATCTTAATTCCTCAGAGTCTTTTCAAGTCAAAGTGAAGAGCGAAGAGTAATTTTTTAGTTGGCTGAATGTCGCAGAATGATGCTTAAAACAGATTCCTGAGTTTTTCAGCTTTCTGTAACAGCGCACAATTCCCAATCGAAAACTTTAATACATGCTGGAGCTTTGTGCTTTTTTTTTGGTCTTTTGGGGGCTTTTTTTGGCCTTTTTTTTTTTTGCTTTTTGGCCTTTTTCAGCCCCTTTTCAGCCCTTTTTCGCTTTTTTGGGCTCTTTTTAGGTTTTTTTTGGCTTCTGGGGGGCTTTTTTTGGGAGCACCGGTGCTTCCACCACCCGCATTTAACCTGCCGAGGAGGTGACCCCCCAAGACTCACTCACATTTATTTTAAATAACTTTTTTTTTTTTTTTTCACACGGCGGTTTTATACCGTGCCTCTGCAGCACCCATCAAACCGGCGGCTGTGAGGTTTTAACGTTTTAAGCTGTTTTGTTTTTTTTTCACCGGGGATTCCCACCCCCCACCC